TTCACAAAGTCAGCAGTGGTGGCATGTGGACCAGATTGCTGCGATGTGTGACCTGAGCTGAGCTCACTGCTGCCGAGTGCAGAGCTCCCTGGAGTGTACTGTGTAAGCTTGATCTTCCAGTGCCGAATTCGCTCAATATGCTCAACAGACCTCCCACCACTTCCTTTAAAAAAAAAAAAAAGACAGCCAGAATTTGCTTCTTTGGTCATAGAGTAAGCAGCTGTGTCCAACACAAAGTATATGCTAAATAAACTGCTTTAAAGGTTAAGCAGTTGACTTCACTTGGGGTAAGATCATAATGGTAGTTCTTTGAATCTCCCAAATTTCCTAAGAAACGAAAGCAAGTGAGATAGCATAGAAAAAAATATTCATGGACATAATCTTGAATAAAGCTATGTGACAATGCATTCCAAAATAAAGACCAAAACTATTGACAGTATCAACACCTACTCAAGATCGCAGCTTGGGGAGGCTATAGAAGGAAAGCATGCAGGGAAGTTATGGCTGATCCAAGAATTTCATACCGAAACTACTAACAAATACTAGTGAAATACTCAGGGGGAGCCTCACTAAGTGAATCTGGGAATACATAGCAAAATTCCTAGAAATGTAAATAGAGCAGTCTACAAATTGGAGGTGAATATAACATAAAAGAACAAAACAAAAATAAGTAATAAAAACAAAGTGCCCACCAAAGGGTTGCAGAAAGATCAGAGGTAACAGAATATCCTAATCTCCCAAATGTACCTAATAAAAACTCCTTACAGGGAGACCAGAGACCCAAGCTAAATAAAATCTCCTGGAGTAGAATCCAAAGTGGGTAGGGCAGGGACATGAGGGACAAAAGATAGGAAGGATTAGACAAGAGGACCAGCAGTTCAGAGGAGGTAGAGATATGCCCTGGGATGGTCACCACACAGAGAAGCTATATATTTTATACTTCATGGTAACAATGGCATAGGGAATCCTCAACCTGAAATCGTATGGAAGCTACTCTACCCATTTCACAAGAGCAACAACAACAAAGATAACAGAACAAAAGGATTATGACCAAGTCCTTATGAATATATTATAATCATATATTAGATTATATAATACTACATATATGATCATAGTCCTTATAAATATGTAAAATGATGTATGTTTTACATATAAATATGTAAAATAATGTATAAAATATAAGAAACACAAAAAATAAACATATAAAACAGGTAAAAACTCCAGTAATATATAACAAAATGATCAAAAGAAATTAAGAAAAATAAATGCTGCAAGAGCACCACAAAACTGGAAACAGGGAAGTACAGAAATGGTGTCTAAATAATAGGACACTATGAAAAAAAAGACAGGAAAGTGTTCAGGAAATAATTAGAATTAGAAAGAAATGGAAAAAAAATTTTAGAAAGGGAAGTAAACTTGAAGGAGCACAAGATGGGGAGTACAGTAAAGGAAACAGAATTTTAAAAAAAGATAAAAATGAAACAAATGAAACAAAACACATGGAAAGAAAATGATGGAAATAAATGACCAAAACGTGATACTAGTAATTAGAATACAAAAGAAATCCTGAAGAACAACAAGACAGGATGGAATAAAATAAATATCATGTGATATACCTATATCCATAATAGTCAACAAAAGATGTATTCTCATTGAGCTACTGGCTTTACTAAAAAAGGAAAGACTCTCAGTATTCAAAAGAAAAGATCACACAGAAGGAAAAAGCAGTCTCATAGTCACATTTATACCAGAGGCAATCAAGTACCATATTTAAAAATCTCAAGAAATGACAATGTAAAACATCTTCAAAAATCTAGGAATAGACCAAAAAAATAAACCAAAAAGCAAAAAATAAATTAATTAATTAATAAATAAAGGCAAAAGTAAAAATTGAGTTAGAATGATTAAGCTAATTCTAAGTAAACCAATTGGCTAATCTAAAACAAAATGAAACAAAACAAAACAAACAGTACTAGCCAATATAACCTAAAGAAACTCTAACAAAAGATTCAAAATTCAGAGAAAGTACTAGTCAAAGAGAGAAAATTAAAATTATTTAAACAATCCTAAGTTAACAAATTAAACTAAATAGTGGATAATTTCCTAAAAGAGTAACTTCACCAAACAGACCCCAATAGACCACACAAGTCTAGACAGAACAATTTCCATAGAAGAAACAGAAATAGAAAGGAGCTCCACCAAAAAAAAAAAAAAAAAACAAAAAAAAAGCACTAGGACCAGATGGTTTCATAGGAGATTTGTACCAAACTCGTGAAGTTAAAACAATTTCAAGATAGAGCATAGGAGTGCATGTGCACCCCTCCCCCCACACACGGAAAATCTAATATCAAATCCTGACAAAGATCAGACAAAATTAAAAGAAGGAAAATAATAGCAAGTATAATAAATTGCACATTAAACTGGAATTAAACTGTGCCGTGACCCCACTCAGGTTTTTCCAGAAATGTAAGGATGGCTCAATACTAGGAAATATACCCTATTACAAGAGCTAAAGAGAAAAATAATCATTCAACAAAATTTAAAAGCTATTCATGATACAACAGTCAAAAACTGTAATTGATGTTTATTCACCTAATCTGATAAGATATACATACTTCAAACTCCAATCCTTCTAATTATTTAATGAGGAAACATTAGAGATGTTCTAAAGAAGCCAGGGGTTAAGCAACTACGTTCACCACCTCTAATACTTTTTAAAATTGGGCTGACTCAATTAAGTAAGCGAAAGCAATTAGAAGCATATGCATTGGAAATAAAAAGACAAAACTGTCTTTATTTTTATAGGATTTGATGATATGGAAATGCCAAAAGAAACAATGGAAAAACAGAATTCAGTAAATTTAGTAAAGTAGCAGGAAATAATATTAACATATAAAATAACAGCCTTCATTTAAAAGAACAATAGCAAGTTGCAACAGCTAATAGAAGATAAGACCCCATACTGATAGGAAAAAGATGAAATAACACACCAAAGCATAAATAGAACAAAAAATGTGCAAAATGTATATAAGGAGAAGTATAAAACACTCCTGTAAGACATAAGGGCAGACTTGGTAGAATGGAAAGACAGCACGTGATCTGGGATAGGAAGAAATGTGTGTGGCTTGAAAAACCATGAGCAAAGATAATGATAACTGGGGACAAGTAAACGCAATTTACATCACAAAGGGCTAATATTCCTAACACAATGAGTACCCAAAATTTGAATGAAAAATAATCACAACTTGAAAATGGCCTTTGCATACAATCAGACTCAATCTCATTTTCAAAACGGAAATGCAAATTAAAACTACACTGCGTTTCCATATCTCACCCATCAGATTGGCAAATATCTGTAAGTTTTACAAAATACTTTGTGATGACCACTCGGGGAAAGAGGCGCCCATGTACATCGTTGTCTACAAAGTCAAAATGGTTATGGGAATATGGAATATAGAGAAACTAATAATGGAACCACTAGGAAGCAATTCACCATTTATCTAGAATGTAGAACTTTCTACAGAAGACTCATTTTCCCAATGGATTCATGATATGAAAAAAAAATTTTTTTTTGCAAGGTTTGTGGAGTTGAGAACTAATGGGCTTAAAGAGACTTAAATGAGATTTAAAAATATAACAAATATCCTTTGTGGAGCCTGTGTGAGACCTGATTCAAAGAAGCTATCTTATTATAAAAGGAAATATTTTAGACAATTGGGAAAAATATGAATGTGAATTGGTACTGGCCTACATTAATAAATTATTGTTAATTCTGCTAGATGCAATAATAGCACAATGGTAATGGTTTAAACATTTTATCAGCAATGCATATGGAGTTACATCTGAAATGACCTGATTTCTCAGATTTGCTTTAAAATGAATAGAGTCTGGCAAATATTGATAATTGTTGATATTGAGTTATAGGGATTCACTACAACTCTAATCTTCACTTTTGTGTAAACTTAAAATTTTCCATAAGAAAAAGATTTTCAAAAAGTTAAAAATGAAAAGAGTAATGCATTGACTGTGATCCCTCTCTTTTAAGGATAATGCACAATGAATTATGTACAAAGAGAAGCAGTGACCCGTAACTTCATGTTATGCATCATCTCATTAGATTCTTAAAATCCTTGTACAAAATAAGGCCCTTTTCTACCAAAATTATGTAACTGGAGATGCTGGTACAGCCAGTAAAGGAAAGAGCTAAGGTTTGAGTAAAATCTGTCACTCACAGACCCTTACTTGTCCATTCTGCAATTTCATCACACCACTGTCTCCCTACATAGCACAATTTCAAATACTTTAGAGACGTCATCTACATAGTTTTATCCTCTGTGTGAAGGTCAGTGGTATAGAAGGGATATCTTCAGACAGAACTTTCCTTCCTTTGCTTTTTCTTTCTTTTCCTTTTTATTTATTTTTTGTCTCCCAATGGTGCCAATTGCATGCCACAACTTCCTTTTATTATACTCTTGCTTTCCATCTCATGTCCTTTCTTTTCACCGCTTTATATCTTCAGGACACCTCGGACTAAAGACATTCTGAATACCATCACACTGTGACTTCATCATGTAACATTTATTCTGCATCCTGTAAATCCACAGGAACCACACGTGGGCTGGTCACTGCATCAGGCCACGGGTTCAACTGCATGTGGCAGAATCAACCCTACTCTGGCCATGAAGCCAGTAGTCAGACCATCTAGCTCCTTCCTGGATAACCCAAGGCTTTGCATTTTACACAATTTATTTCACTTTTTAAATATTCTTAGGCATCATATTTTCACCAACCCCTGGAGTTATGTCCAATTTTTAAAAACTTCAGTATGGATAAAGAGATGTTTTTATTTTACTGAGACGAAAAGGAAAATATTATTAAACTACTTCAGATTCTCCATGCATTTTGGTTAGAAAACACTCACCTTGACCATATCCCGGATATGCATTTTTGCTATCATCTCCGCGGAGATTCTCAGTGCATTTTGGTTAGAAAACACTCACCTTGACAATACCCCGGATGTGCATTTTTGCTATCATCTCCGCGGTGTAGAGAAACATCAACAAAGTATCCAGAGTGAAAGTCACATACTGAAGAGGGGGGTAGTGTTCGAATGTCATGGGCGTGTTCATACAGACAGAGATAACGCTGATGATGGCACAGATGCGTAGCAAGGAGTGAACCCACTGCAAAAATGGTCCAAAGTTACCACGTGACACCATAAAACACTATCTTCAACTTGTGCTCTAAGCCACACTATTTGGAAACCATGATACTGAGATTAAAATATTTCACCAGCATGGTGAAGACAAAGAAGGAAACTAATGTCTGTTAAGTACATACAATGTGCTAAATATTTTCACATACTTTACATCATTTAATGCTGAAAGCAGCCTCCGGTCCACATGAACACACTAGGACTAAAAGTTTAAGAGACTCTTCTGTGGTCATGTAGTTCAGCCTTTAACGAAGCAGGAGGATTTGACTCATCAGAGGCTGGGAAAGGCCTCGAGGCAGGGAAACCATGTGAACTGGCCGGATATCTCGGAGGAACAGGAAGACAATGATGAGGCTCAAGTGGACAGTGTGCACATCCAGGAAGGAACAGTTGCTGGGCTCTTAGAGCCAGAATATAAAGAGTCTTCAATGTAACACTAATGCGTTTTAATTTGCAATGCAGGTAATAGGGATGTTTCAATGACTGTAAGGCAAAAGGGCAATGTGAACAGAAATGGAAATGTAGGGAGAAATCTGAGCATGTCAGACACGTAGTCTGGAGGGCAGCTTAGACGAAGAAGACCAGAAAGTGGGGGGAGACAGGGCAGATGATACCTACCACCCAGGTCGGGGGAAAGACAATCACTGCGAGTGTAACAGTTCATTGCCTTCCTTCTGCCTCTGCTGTGAGTTCACTAATACAGTGGAGCTAACTGTGTGGTAGAGATGAGCTTTGAAGACCCGGGAACATGCCACTCTACCTTCTGGCTGCTACACTATCTAGTCCAGTGACATTGTACCAAATGTTCCCCTCAAGTTTTCATCACCTTAATTAGGCAAAAAAGGTGACAAAATTCTTCAGAGGCACTATGCACTACCTCATTAACCTTTACTTCTACTCAAAACTTGTAACTCAGAAGACAACTTTTAATTCCAAACATTTGATTATCCCCTCACAGATTCATGCACACTGAGAACCATGAGTAAAGGGAGTCTGATAGAACAGATTACTCATCTGGGGCTCCGGCTTTGGATCGGACTGAGAAGTGGCATTATCGCTACGCCGAGGACAGCATGACGGAGCGGGGAGAGGCGGGAGCAGGCCACCCAGAAGGCCTTCCTATGTGAATAACTTGCAGCGGCACCTCTTTATTCTGTCTGAATTGTTCTCAACTTCCAGACTCTGAGACTCATCCATATTCTACTACAGCTCAAACAGTCATTTCAAAGCCAAAGGTACATGATTTTTGAATTATATGAATCAAATTTCCTTTTCAATCAGCATGTGCTTCTCCATTCTTCAAAAAAGAAACTTACTGGCTTGTTAATCCAGAGTATGTCAGCGTTGTCTGACAGAGATTCATCCGGACCAAAGTCAGCAACTGGCTGGGCCTCCACCCTGGAGCTCTGCTTCCTTTTGAGCATACTGGAGTTAGCTCTCGTGAGCAAGTACAAAACTGCAGTCTGGAAGAAGAGAGACAGTTATGTTAGTCACCTAAACCATCTTGACCGCGATCACTTCCAAAGCAGAGTCCCTCGTGTAATCATATGCATACATTAATTATACACAGGATCGATTATATTGTGTATGATAAGCACATGCAAAAAGAAAAAGAAATTTTAAAAACATGAGATAAAACATCAATCCAAGTTTGAATTTTTTCTTCTCTCTCAACACGACAGATCATCCTGTGCACTTCATAAACAATTTGCATGCCAGTTTAGAGAGCACTAGCCTAGGTGAACTGGGGTAGATTAGCTTTGCCCTTTAGGATACACGCATTAGTAGGAACTTTTTTGAGGTCTATGTTCATATATCCAGAGCTGTCCCCACTTAAAGGCAGTCTGTGCTAGAGCACAGGTGACCAATCCAGATGAAATATTCAGATCTTTCCCAGGATTTCCCCCCAGGTTAATTGAATGTGACATTCACAAACATCTATCTCCAATGGTAGTTCCAAACTGAGTTCCCAGCTGTCCTTGACACAGAGGATGTGGGGCAGAGACTTGGGCAGAACCTACTCTAATTTTTTCTGTCTTTTACGAAGACTGTGACTGCATCAATCCTTCCAGTTATCTTGAAGTAAATCCAAATCACACTGAAGACTGAGAGGAGATGCCCGCTTGCCTCTTCAATCGCCACAGTTCCAAGGCATCCACATCTTGCTATATGTGTCACTTCCTTCTAGCCATTGGCTATCCCTTTCTACAATCCGGCAGCCATTGAAGGAGGGCCTATTCTATGCCAGGCCCTCAGGACACGAACAGCAAACAAGTACAATATAATCTGAGAAGAGACACAAAGGCAGGCGGTGCCTGGTTACTCTGAGTCCACAGACTTCTCATTTGATTAACACCTAGACTGAATCCTTTTTTTTTTTTTAAGTTTATTTTTGAGAGAGAGAGAGAAAGAGAGAGAGAGAGAGCTGGGGAGGGGCAGAGAGAGAGGAAGACCGAGGATCCGAAGCAGGCTCCGTACTGACAGCAGAGAGCCCTCCATGGGGCTCAAACTCACCAACTGTGAGAGCATGACCTGAGCCGAAGTTGTATGCTTAACCCACTGAGCCACCCGGGCATCCCAACACCTGGACTGAGTCTTAAAGGAAGAGGCAAAGCTAACATTTTTTGGATATATACTATGTTTTGCACACTTAGCAATAATCTTTTACTTCATCTTTACAACTGACAATAGAAAGGAAGCATTTGTCTTTTCATGCAAGCATGAGAAATGCCAGCCTCAGGGCGGTTAATAATTTGACTGAGGCCCCATCCAAGCAAACTTGAAATGTAAAAGATGTTCGTCTGACTACAAAGCCTAAGTGCTTGTCGTGGTCCGAACTGATGCTGAGGACTGATCAGGATTTTGAAAGGCAGGTAAGAGAGGGAAAAGGTCCAGGCGGCGAACAGCCATGGAAATGTTGAGTCAGGAAAACACAGTAGTTTTAACACCAGGAAGGGGCACTGGCTCTCCTATCTGCCAGATGACGAACTCTAACTAAAGGGACAATGAGGGCCACTCAATTCTCGGGGGAGCATGAGAATAACAAGAAATGTGTCTGCAGCCTCTGTAAATATATGCCATGGCGATTTTCATTGGGAAAGAGAACAAACCACAGCAGCTCAGGACAAATCAGCTTTGACTTTGATTCTCTGTGTCTGGGTACCTCCTTATATGCCCATGCTCTCCTGGATGCACCAGGTAGGTGTGTCTGCCCAGCCCTTGGATTCCCAGAAGAAATCAAGCTAATTGGCTTTAAGATGTGCTAGGTATTTCCAGGCTGTCTTGCCCTGAATATTGGATTTGAATATGGGCTTTGCAGTAGGCTGCACTAATTAATTTTATTTTACATAATTGGAGTTAGGGACTCTTGACATCGATATGTAAATATATGCAGAATATTCAAATTATGCTTGCTCTCTGATTTACTATGGAGGCAAACATCTGGTGGCCTCAATTTGGGATGCTTCTTGAATGACAGGCTCCTATGTACCCAAAAACAGGATACTGAATCTTTAAGAAATCCTTCAAGATTACACAACACAAAGGAAATAAAGAGTGGTTTTACAAAGTTGTTTGAAGATGATACAAGAAAATTTTATAGACCTAGCCACTAATCATAATACCTTTTTCACTGAGTCAGTGGAGATTTATGAATGGCCATTTATTGCTCTTATGATCTGACCCTAAGTTACAGTCTGAAAAACTTTTGATGTATAAATGTGATACCTTCGTATATGAATTTCATGCACCTTTTATTATAAATATCCCATCTGAAGCAAAGCTGATTTTTTCATTATGGATTTCTTTTTCTAAAGAACTAGACATCCAAGATTATTTATTTTTTAATCTCTATGCTGGTTACATTTGGCCCATCAAAACCGTGCACCTATAACGAATGATATTAGTTGTCATACACTTTGTCCCAAACTTTACCTACTGCAAAAATGCCACCAAATTGAACAGGGCCCAAGAAAACCATCTGTTCAAACTCTCATAGAACCTGGTTAATCCACAAATACATTTAGAACTCAACAACTAGGTCCTGCATCACTGATGTTTTGGCTAATTTAACAATATTAAATATTAGGTAAAGCACGCAAGTAGTAAAACGAATTAACGTTACAAACATGTGAAGAGTCCAAAATTAATTTGAGGCAATTGATTATAAAAATTTTTGTTTCTGCACAGCAATTATGGTTTTAAACATCCATTCATGCTGAAACAATATAACCAAGTACAGCAAACCCATTACTCTACCGATAAAGACCAGCAGGTATGTTTAAGTATCCCAGGTAAGCTGACTATTTTGATAGGAAATCGTTTCTGTGTATCTTAGCCTTATCACTATTATGTATTTATAATGCTTTTTTTTTTTCTGTTTAAAGAAGTGTCCTTCATAAGGCAGTGCACTAAATTTAAAAGACAAGGCTTCTGGTAGCTGTTCTGCCCTTATTAAAAGTGGTTGGTATTTAAATAGTTCAATAGCAGGAGAAGGCTGCACAGTTACAATATGTTCGTTGATAAATCTTTCACTTGGAAACAACTAACGGCAATTCAGGGAGAAAACCTATTTGGGTTCATTGCTCTCCTTTAAATGGTTAAAATCCAGTTTTGTATTCTGTAATATGAACATTATACTTTTATTGGCATACACTTTGCTTAGGACATTGCAGCTCTCTCTTGACCAAACTGCAATTGATACATCCAGTTTTCTTTTAATTGCAAAGTGCTTGCAACACTATGGTTCAATTCTTCTCCTTGTAACTCTCTTGGGCTTGCATTAAACTCTTTTGAATCTTCCATATTCTAAATGACGGTTTACAGTATGTCCTTCACCTGTTGTCCCCTGTGTCTGTCCTCTGTACTTAACCCCTTAAATGAGCATCTGTTCTTAGAGTTTCCATCACCATCTGTTGGTGTCTGGATCCTGAGTCCTGGATCTACTCTGCTGCTTTGCCGGCCAGACACAGGCCATACCAACACCGTCACCACTTAAAAATCACCGGGACAGGTCCATACCAGTCCCACATGCTCGTGCTTCACTCTTTCTTCTCAATTCCCAGATCTTCCTACTCCGAGCTCTTTGGGTCCTCGTATGTGCAGAAGGACTACACAGATTCTCCGTTCTGGTGCACATGGCCTCCTTCACATTTGCCCCATTACTAGAGTCCTTGCTTGGCCGTGGGCTTCAGGTCTGGACTACCACCGACATCAGCTTTTCAGCCCTTTCTATTATGTCCCGTTCTTTATAATAGAAACCAACTTCCCAACACACTTAACGGTCTCTCCTGTAACCCAGAAAACCTCAGCCTATCCCCTTATTTCTCATTCATCCATCCATTCATTCACTCATTCACACAGAAAAGACTGCACATTCACCATGATATCAGGCACTGTGGCTCGTGCAGGGAACAGCAAGCAAAGGCGTTCAGAGCTTACGGACTGCCTGCCTTAACGAACTGTAGGTTGTAAGGACGCTTAGTCCCACTGAGCTTTACCTGCACTTCTGGTCATGCTCACATCCACAGGCTCCACTTGAATTGGCCAAGCGTCTCATCACTCCCATCCCCATCCTCCAACCTCCAATCTTTGTCAGTGATCTCAGCTCCTTTGTTCCAGCTGGGTTCTCTTAGTGATCTATTGTCAATCCCACATCAATCCTTCGTATTCCCTAACTCAACTCATGCAGGGTTTTTAAAAGGAAATGAAGAAAATAAAATGTTCAATGATATCTCTCAGACTTCTTACCCCACACTTTAGTGTTATGTCTTTGGAAAATCAGCCTTCATTGCTAGCAGAAGCTTCTCATTCGTTCATGCTTGCATATATTTAAAAAAAATTATCCAGGAGTGCCTGGGTGGCTCAGTCAGTTAAGTGTCCAACTTTGGCTCAGGTCATGATCTCCTGGTTCATGAGTTCAAGCCCTGCATCGGGCTCTGTGCTGACAGCTCAGAGCCTAGAGCCTGCTTTGGATTCTGGGTCTCCCTCTCTCTCTGTCCCTCCCCTGCTCTCTCTCTCTCTCTCTCTGTCTCAAAAATAAATAAACATTAAAATTTTTTTTATCCCAACCATTGTGTTAGGTGATGTGAATTTAGCACTAACAAAGCACACTTGGTCTCTTTCCTCCTAGAATCCCAATGCCCCATGCTCCTGACACAGATGACACGTTTAATTAAATGAGAGCATGTCACCAGTGCATACTGATTCTTCAACCTCCACCTAATGATACTCTTATGTTTTCACTACCTTATTGCTGGCTCCACACTACCTCCCTGGGCAAGGGATATTTGTTGAACAGTTGATTCCCAACATGCACCTGGATCTGTGCTAACGAGATTCAGTTGACAAGTCAGGACATCTGACTACTGGTCCCTGCCTAGACCTCACATACCTACATCTTAAGTTAAAGGAAAAGAAACGCATTTTATTTTTATTCTACTTTCATTACACAAACAATGCAGCCTTGTTGCAGGATAATTAGAAAAAAATACAAACAAAATGAGAGACAAAGTGAAAACCATCAGGAATTGCACTCAATTGTTTTTGCAAAGTAGCTGCTGAGTGGACGCATTGTGCCAGCCCCTGGGCAAAACAGAGCAATAGTCAAATACACTCCCTCTCCTCATGACACTTCTTTTAGCTGGGACACTTACTCTCCAATGGCATATGGATTGTATCTCTGCTGTTTTCTTTTCCATATATATTTTCCCATGCATGTATTTTTTTAAATGGCTGCTTAAACACTGCCTTGTAACCAGCTGTGTTTTTTTCATTTGCAGTATCTTGTGAACATCTTTCTCTGTCAATAAATATGCATGCACAGAAAATCCTAACTGTAAACAGACACCACCTTCAAACATCTGCCTTTCCATGTCTCTCTTGTCTCCTAACCTCATTTACATCCTCATATGTGCGAGCCCCTGCCAGGTAAACAGGTAAAAGCACATCTTTCTAGATTAAGTATCAATGTAGGTGAGAAAGGTACCAACACGTATTTTGGGAGACAACTTAATTTGGTGTTATCAATTTTTTTGAGCAATACAATCTTAATTCTTAACTCAAGTATTCCTATTTCTCCCTCTTTTTTTGGTGTTATTTTTTTTTAAATGGCCACAGAACCCAAAACAACCACTGATATCCGTATTTGAACAAGTTTGCTGCATCTTTCCATATGCACATTTAAATCTTCCATTGTACTTCAGCACATCACAGTAACAGTTTGAAGACAAAGGTGATGTTTATTCCTGATGCTGGCACTGCCAAACGTCATTGTCTTTGTAAAG